GACACCTTGGATTTTTCCATATTCAATTTTTATCCCGAAGCAGTTTCATAAGTGGAGAGAATATCAAGCACATTATCCTCCTCATCATCATTTGCCCAAACAAATAACAGACTATCATCCGCAAAGAACAGGTCAGATATCGAATCGACCTTTCTTCCAATCTTCACCCCATGAATGAGCTTCTTTTCTTCGGCATCCCTGAGAAGTGTAGACAAACCCTCTGCACAAATAATGAAAAGGAAAGGTGATAACGGGTCACCCTGCCGCAAACCTCTAGAAAGAGTGAACTCTCTTGAAGGTTGCCCATTAACAAGTATGGAGAAGGAATTCGACTGCACACACTTCATGATTGACTCTACAAAACATTCCGGGAATCCTAATTTTCTCATCATACAATCCAAAAAGCATCATTCAACCCTGTCATACGCTTTGCTCATATCTAGTTTTATACCCATATACCCAGCTTTTCCTGTTTTTTTTTTCTCAGATAATGAAAGCATTCATAGGCCACAAGAATATTATCAGAAATCAATCTACCCGGCACAAAACCAAACTGAGACTCATGTATTATATCAGGCAAGACTAATTTCAATCTATTTGCAAGAACCTTGGTCATAATTTTGTATAGAACATTGCAAAGACTAATGGGTCTATAATCAGCAAGAGGCTCACACTCTTTGTTTTTGGAATTAAAATGATGTAAGTCTGATTTATAGAGCCAATGTCCTACCTTCATTCAAAATATTCAACACAAAATCTATCACATCCAAACCAACAATACTCCAAAATTTTTGATAAAAAAGAGCGCACATACCATCTAGGCCGGGGGCTTTGGTTGGGTTGCATTTGTTTCACGACATCATAGACTTCTTCACCTCTAAAAGGAGCAGTGAGCATAGTTTCCATAGCATCAGTAATACTACGGTGCACTTTGTCAATAACTTGGTCAATCTCGACATCGCAAAAGGAGCCCAAGAGTGCCTCGAAATGATTCACAATAACTTATGAGATTTGTTTCTCCTCATCAAACTTGTTCCCAGCTTCATCTAGGATGGCCTCAATATTGTTACGTTTCATCCTTTGCTTGGCCTTTGTATAAAGAACTCAAAATTTTTGTCCCCGCTTTTTAGCCACTCTTGTCTACTCCATTAATTCCAATAGAGTTCCTCTCTTTCCTCAAGTTCATCAAGACGCTTATCAATGGCTCTCATTTGTGCTATTACATCGAGAGTTTGATATTCATCCATGAGTTGAGTCATACTATAACACCCTAGAAATTATTTTCCTTTGAAATACCTATTTTTCCCTTTTTAAAATACGAAATAGGAAATTCTAAGACATTACCGCCACCGTAGTAACGGCTAAGGCAATTATCAAAGATACACAGCGGAAGACTTGTTTTAAAAACCATTCAAAACAAAACTAACTTCAAAAGTCAACCAAATAAAAGTAAAGTCAAACCAAAGTCAAAGGAAGTCAAACTACAACTTGGAATCCTTGTAGGCCCTTTTTAAAACCCAACAAATGCTTAAAACCATTGCGTTATTCTCACAAGCAAATATATATTATAATCAAAGCAAATAAACACATCACATCCTTATAGGAACTAAACAAGATTCGCTCTTCACTCATGCCCATCATGAATATGCCTCATCACCTAAAAAGCTTCCCTTTACTTTGTCCCCATTACTCGCCATTAGACATAGGTCGTCGTAGAGCCAAGATAAAGACAAGACCAAATTAACATACAAGCACACAATCAACAATGTTGAGTAAATAAGCATAAATGATTCACACTAACATGCATATAACCTAGTGTCACACAACTTACCTTGTGGCACTTGTTTACAAGCATACAACATACATTTCATTCAATAAACAATAAAATTGCTTATTTAATTTGATCACGCATCGAACGGGTTTCCCTCTGAACCTGCCCCAAATAATGGGGTACTAACACAAGAGCTAACCATGCCAGTATAAAAGAACCACTCGTAAGTGGCAGAATTCCTACGCATAATAAAAAGGAAAATACAGTGTCCTATACTCCCTGTAGAAGTTATGATCAATTATAAAGTCACATAACTCCCCACATATGTTCATACTCCAGGTATATACGTTCCAAGAGTTTTGGTGCATAATCTCATTCACTTTACGTTGCTTACATATTTTAAACATGGTGATGACTCTTAATCCACAACACAATCAATCCATACAATTCATTCAAGTAATCAAACATTTCAATTTAACTCTTGAATAATTAGTGATCACAAATAATTAAATGTTCAATCCTTTTTAAACTACCTCGGCGTTAAATAACACCTTAAGCACATAATGCACTACAAATCTTATCCCTCGGTGTTTAGAACACCTTAAGTGCACTTAGACACCAAAATATAAATTAAACCTCGTGTACATAGACACTAAAATAGCTCATTTCCCATGCTTATAGCATCAATAAAAATTATATGAACCATAATAAAATTCCCTTTTTATATTCTCAACCAAATTAAATAAAGAGTTTAATTAAACGTAGTCTCAATCATGCTAATAATAAAAGTATGGTTCAATAACAATATTCCATATTCACCAATTCCAATAAATAAATTATTTCAACCAATCATGCTTCACAAATATTTCACCAAAATCTCTCCAAATCAATCAATCCAATCCAATTCACCAATTCCAATCAATTCCTAGCGTGATATTAATTTAGAGTCAACTAAAATAAATTCTAGCATGTTTCTACACGCTTTAATAAATACCAAGTTTGCGAACGTACCTCGAATATGATCTCTAAATAGCCACGACTACACGAAATCACTCACTTGGAAGTCTCCAACAACACAATTACAAAGAGACATTAATACCTTTTCATATTAAATTTCCAGCAATATATACACTCTTTAAAACACTTTTGAACCTTCTAAAACATGCTGAAAATTAATTAAAACCACCTACTTTTATTCCCAATCAATGGGTAATTAAATTCTTTTCAAGAAAACTTTATTCTAGCTAATTCCATCAATATAAAAACCCTTAAACTTGTTGTAATTTAGTTTTAAAACATTAATTTCAATAGTTTTAACCAACCACAACTTAATTCCCTTAATAAACATTAATTTAGGAAACTAGGGTTTATCAATTTGGGGCTTTTTCATATAAAAACCAAATCTGAAAATTATATAAGTTAAACATCATCAAAAACGTCATAAAATCATCACACAACACCTAAAATAATAATTTATCAAAGCTAATTAAAATTGAAGCAAGTTTTTTTTTTTTTTGTTTTTTATTTTATTCGAACCCACGCACGCACACAAGGAGAGGAAGGGAGGACGGTCGCCGCCGCCTCCCACTGGCTACTGTTGCCGGTGTGTACTGGTAGTGGCCGGTCGGTGGTGGTGGTGAAAGTCGTCCACTTGCGGTGGTAGTGTGTGTGTTTGTGTCGTGAGTTGTGAATGAGGAGAGAGGGGAAAAATTAAGGAGAAAAGAAAAATGAGAGAGAGAGAGAGAGGTTTACCTTTGGATATTCTCCACATTGGGCAAAGTCTCAAGTTGCTTATAGATGGGTATTTATACCTCCTCTCAACCCTCCTAGCTTAACTTTCCCTTTTTACCGTTACTAATTCCCATTCCCATTCAAAATAGTCATTTGACTTTCTTTAAAATTCTATTGAGTTTAAAATATTTTTATAAATTAAATATGCCCCAAAGTTCCTTAATAATAAAATAAAATATTTCCAAAACCAAATAAATAAATAGAAATGGGTTTTTAATTAAAATAAACCTTTTAAATTATTAAAATACCATAAAGAGTTCATTTTAAATTATTTAAATACGTCATATAATAATACTTTAGATTAATATTCGTATAAAAATACATGGTATTATAGTCTACTCCCCTTAAAAGAAGTTTCGTCCTTGAAACTTAGGTAACGAAAAAACAAGATCCATACTTAATGAATGAAAGAATACCAACTTTTTAAAACCTTTTTCCTCACTTTATGTAATATTTTTGTAATCTTTTGACATACATTTACCTTTAATATCTTCTTTAAACCAAAAGTACTTGAATTAACCATTAAAAATGTGCAAAAAGCACTGAAATTACTAAAAATTCAAGGAAAAATCGTGAAATTCTACCGCATTCTACCCTCTTAAAGAGAACAAGTTACGTCCCCATAACTCAACATACCTTAAATAACTCAGGGTATTTCTTTCTCATTTCATCCTCGGCTTCCCAAGTTGCTTCCTCATACTCTTGGTTAGACCATAACACCTTAACAATCTTAACTTCCTTATTGTGTGTACTACGCACTTTACTGTCAAGAATCTTGACAAGTCTTTCCTCATAAGTTAATCTTTGATCTAACCCAATTGTTTCAAGTTTGTAGCACATGCGATTTTCAGGTATATACCTTCTTAATTGCGAAACATGGAACACATCGTGCACTTTGCCCAATTCCATAAGTAAGGCCAACTTATAAGCTACTTTGCCTATCCTCTGCAATATCTCATATGGACCAATATACTTTGGGCTAAGTTTCCCTTTCTTACCAAATCTCATGACACCTTTCATTGGTGACACCTTCAACAACACTTTGTCACCAACTTCAAACTCTTCCTCCCTATGCTTCAAATATGCATAACACTTTTGACGGTCCTGTGCTACTTGGATATTAGCTTGAATTTCCTTCACCTACTTAATTGTATCTTCAATCATTTAAGGCTCTAAGATCATTTTTTCACTTATGTCGTTCTAACATACAGGGCTACGACACTTCCTTCCATATAATGCCTCAAATGGAGCCATCCCAATGATCACATGGTAACTATTATTATATGAAAATTCAATTAAGTCCAAGCTATATTCCCATCCCCCTTGGAAGTCTATAACACAAGCTCTCAGCATATCTTCCAAGGTTTGAATAGTTCTCTCAGTTTGTCCATCTGTGGCAGGGTGAAATGTTGTACTCATCTTTAGTGTTGTACCATAGTTAATTTTCTTGAACACTCTTCCAAAACTTTGAAAGAAACCTAGAATCTCTGTTAAACACAATATATTTTGGAACTCCATGTAACCGCACAACATTCTTGATGTAAGCTTTTGCAAGTTGCTCCATCTTCCAGGTCTCCTTCATTGGTGGTATGAACACTGCAGATTTGGTAAGTTTATCCACAACGACCCAAATGGTATCATTTCCATTCTTTGACTTTGGGAGGCAAGTCACAAAGTCCATCAAAATGCAATTTCATTTCCATCCAGGGACTTCTAACGATTGCACGGTCCCTTGTGGTCTTTTTTGCTCGATTTTCACCTTTGGCAGGTTAGACATTTCGCTACAAATTCTGCCACTTCGTTCTTCATCCTAGGCCACCAATACATTTTCTTCAAGTCTTTATATAATTTGTCCCCTCCAAGGTGTACTAAATATGGTGTATTGTGCCCCACTTCCATTAATTTCTTCTTTAGTTCCTCACATTTTTGTGGTACACACCATCTACCCTTGTACCTAAAACTCCCATCTTCATGAAATCTGTAGCTTGTCCTTGTTTTATTTTCTCACAAATCCTATCCAACTTTACATCACCTGCCTGATTTTCTCTTATCTCATCAAATATTGTTGGTTGAATGCTTAGATTTGCAAGTATTCCCGCTTGTACTCCCCATTCCACCACTTCTAAATTCATTTTGCTCATTTCTCTACACAATTCATCAGCCACTATCAAAGTTTTCATTCCATGGCTAGTCTTATGACTTAGAGTGTCTCCGACTTCATATGTCTTCCCTTCATGATACTGTATGTCTAGGTCGTAGTCCGTTGCAAATTCTAACCATCTCCTTTGGCATGAGTTTAGATCTCTTTGGGTGAAGATGTACTTTAAACTTTTGTGGTCTGTATAGATCCTACACTTCACCCCATACACGTAATGCCTCCAAATCTTTAGTGCAAAAATGATTGCAGCTAATTCCAGATCATGAGTAGGGTAGTTTTCCTCGTGAGGTTTCAATTGCCTCGATGCATATGCAATTACCTTTCCATTTTGCATTAGCACATATCCCAGGCCATTTTGGATGCATCACTATATACATCGTAGATCCCACTGTCATCTGGCAGTGTCAACACTGGTGCTGTAATCAACTTTTGTTTCAAAAGCTGAAACGCTTCCTCACACTTCTCATCCCACCGAAACCTTTTGTCTTTCTTCATTAGAGAGGTCATAGGCTTATTAATCTTAGAAAAGTGCTTCACAAAGCACCTATAATACCCTGCTAAAACCTAAGAAACTCCTAATGTCAGACACTGTCTTTGGCGTAGGCCATCCTTTTACTGCTTAAATCTTTCATGGACTACCTCTACCCTATCCTTTGATACGAAATGACCCAGAAATGCTACCTTTTCTAACCAGAACTCACACTTGGAAAACTTTGCATAGAGCTTATTCTCCCTTAATGTCTGTAAAACAACCCTCAAATGTTCCACATGTTCATCCTTATTCTTTGAATACACCAGTATATCATCTATGAACACTACGACAAACTTGTCCATAAATGGATGGAACACCCTGTTCATCAAGTCCATAAAGATTGTTGGAGCATTGGTCAGCCCGAATGGCATTATTGTGAACTCATAATACCCAAACCTTGTCCTAAATGTTGTCTTAGGGATATCTTCATCTGCGATTCACAACTGATGGTATCTAGACCTTAAATCAATCTTGGAAAACACAGATGCGCCCCTCAATTGGTCGAACAGGTCATCCATCCTTGGTAATGGATACTTGTTCTTTATGGTGACCTTATTCAACTCTCTATAGTTAATACACAACCTTATATTTCCATCCTTCTTCTTAAAGAACAACACTGGAGCTCCCCAAGGCGATGCACTTGGTCTAGTATACCCCTTTTCTCTCAAATCCTGTAGTTGCTCCTTTAATTCACTCATTACTGCAGGTGCCATTCGATATGGTGCTTTGGTAATTGGTGTTATCCCTAGGACCAATTCTATTGTGAAGTCAATCGCCCACTTAGGTGGCATCCCTGGAATTTCTTCCGAAAATACATCCATAAACTCATTCACCACTTCTATGTTTTCTAGGTTATCTATCTCCTCATGATCCAAGTTCCTTACACTACATAAATATAATGGATACCCCTTCTTAATGTACTTAGCCAATTTCATCATTGAGATGATCATTGGACACTTTGTTTCTCTATGCTTCTAATGTGTTACTAATTCACCCTCAGTTGTACTTAACTGTACATTCTGTGATCAACAATGAATCCTTACACTGTACTTGCTTAACCAATCCATTCCTAAGATGATATCAAAGTCGCTTAACCTAAACTCGATGAGGTTAGACAAAAAAAAAACCTTTCCCTTGATCTCCAATGGTGCATCCTTAAAGGTTTTGGTACACTGCACTACCTATCCTATAGGAATAACTATAGGTACATCTATAACATCTACGGCTTTAAAATAGTACGATAGTTTTGAAACAATGACTTCTGAAATGAAAGAAAAAGTTGCACTAGAATCAAACAAAACTCTAACAGGAACAAAATTAATAGAAAAAGTACCAATAATAACATCCTTTGTGGTATAAGCTTCGTGCCTACTTATCACATTCAGTTTCCCTAGAGCTACAATTTTCACCTGACCATTCCAATTATTGTTGCTTTTCACCCCATTTTGTTGTGGCCCTTTGTTTCCTGCATAGTTGTTGCTTTCTTGAAAGTTCCTTTGAGCCCCTCCTTGATTGTTGCCCTACTTGTTTCGGTTAGGATCCTTGGAGAAGCACTCATATTCCCTATGTCCTAACTTGTTGCAAGCGCGATAAGTAACCAAGTTACCCTCGCACTCTATACCAGGGTGATTATTCCTACACCTCTTACAGTAATAACGCCTTGTTTCCTTATTATTTCTCTGATTAGAGTTTTTAGCCCCTCCATTAAAGTTTCGTTCACCCTGACGATTACTATTATGGAAGTTATTGTTGTTTTTGAAGTTATTGCCGTTATTGTGGTGGTATTTCTGCTTCTTGAAGTTGTTCTGGTTACCTTGATGGTTTCCAGAGCCTTATCCTATCTCCTTTCTCTTTTCCTTGCCTTCCACCTCGGCTAACTCCTTCTTTTTCTTCAACTCCAAAGCATAAAGGTGTGCAGACCTTCCATAAACCTCATCTAGAGTTTCAAATACTTGTCCACACAGCTTCAGTTGAAGATTAGTGGTCAATCCACTCTCGAACTTCCTAGCCTTCGCCTTTTTCTGTAGCAACAGATTCCTTAGCAAACCTTGGCAACTCAATAAACTTGGTATAATACTTAGTTACTGACATCTCTCCCATTGCTAAGTAAGAAAATTCTTCAGCTTTCTTTTTCTGTGGGAAATTGGGGTAAAACTTATCCCTCACCTTTTCTTGAAACATAGTCCAGTTGATACCAAGTAGTGCCCTAATGGTAGCTTCATTTTGTTGCCACCAAAGGTCAGCTTCACCCTTGAGCTAATAGGTAGCACATCCTACTTTAGAATTTTTTGGGCACCCTACCGCCCCAAACAGTTTCTAAAACTCCCTTAACCAGTTTTCTAACACGGTTGGGTCTAATTTGCGTCAATAGGTTAGTGGCTTGCTTTGTGCCACCTTTTCGAACGATTCTCCCTAAGCATCCCCATTGTTGGTCGAGTTCCAACTTCACTTAGTTCACCTCCTCCATCGTTATTGTTTCCACTTTCTCCTGTCGTCTTCCTTCTCCTGAATAAAATCAAGGGGTCTTTATTAATTATGGTCATGGTTATCTCTCAAGTTAGACAGTCATCCTACTAACTTGTACCAATCATACATACATATTTAGTTTAAGCTACTAAATTGAGGTTGCAAATTTTACAACTCCCGAATTTTGCAGCTTGATCAACACATTTTGATTGCTAACCAAACATACATTTAATAAAACATCACAATAATAAATAAAAAATATTTCCCATGGTTTCTCAGAGTTTGGAAATGAATTATTGGAACACTTGAGTAAGAAATGACTTATTGGAGTAGTGATATGAAATGAATGATTTGATAACGAAATGAATTATTAGGCGGTGAAATGTAAAAATATAAATTTTATTGATGAATAAAGGAATGACTCAAAAATAAAATGAATTCGAATAACCTACGCAAATCAATAGGTTTATTGACTCATTGTGGCCATGCCACTTATTACTTTACTAGAAATGAAATAACTATGACTGTGGAAAAGAAACTAGAGATCCTATAAAGAAGTGAAACTACAAAAATCTAGTCCTTTTGAACATTATCCTTCTTGTTCTTCGATTGTTTGTAGCTTCCATGATCGAATTCAGGGTCATCCTCCTCCTCCTCCACTAGTTCAAATGTCTCTGGATTTTGCTTTACTTCAATAAACTCTTCATCTTCCTCATCGTCAGATGAAATGTCAATAATGATTGGGGTTGGGGGTGGATTTGGATTTGTGATTTCCATAATGGAACTGTTGACAGTATGGTTACTCTCCTCCATTAGTTCTCTTTCCTTTTGCCCTCCATTTGCTCCTGGTTGATTGCCCTGTGATGGGGAAGTGTTTCTTGATTGGTTTCTTGTAGAAGGAGAATTATTCCCTTCTGGGTTATCATAAGTATAATAATTGGATATGGAATCTATAAGCGTTTGCATTGATATTTCTCAACTCGAACAAGGTAAGAAATCAAGTATCTGTAGTCAGGGTTCCACTTTCCATAATAGTCTTTATATTTAGAGTAATTGAGGATGTCCCCAGGCAAATAGAAATCAACAAACTTTGTTTTGACAGCAAGATATGGTGGTTCATCAGGAAGACAGTGAACTGTCATGGCTGAAACACAATCAGGAAGATCCTACTGCTTGTCTCTAGGACATCACTTAAGTGTGAACAATAAAAGCAAATTTTCTTGACATAATCAAAGGGGTGTTCATAGTCTTTCTTAATTAGTGTTCCAATTTGTGAGTGTTTGCTAAGAAAGATCGGCATCCTATAAAGGAAACGGTTTAGAAAAGAATTCCCTTCCCAAAGAAAGTAAAATAACACAGTTCTTGCATGAATTTAGGTTCAATGTTCAATAAAACAATTTTATTTATTCCTAATCAGATAATTACATGCTTCCACATCATTCAATTCGCATGATCAAACATCACAACCTAAATATTAATGTATACAAGAACATGAATACTTCTAATTTATATGCCCCAAATTCTTTCCTACCCAAGCTCACAATCATGCTATAAAAAACTTTTAACACATAATTCATACCTTAATCCTTCGCTTCCCTGCAAAATGAACAAACTAAAAAAATATTTTGACTCCCCTTTTATTTAAAAACTTCCGAAAATTAACCCAACTAAGGCATAAATTTTCAGCCAAAACAAAAAAATTCGAACACCCCAAAATAAAAAAAAATTCGGATTTCTCCATTTTTTAAAAATAATATTCGAACCTTCTCTCTGAAAAAAAAAAAAATTTTGGTCCTCATAAAAAAAATAAAAAAAAATAGGACAACTCACTTTTAAAAATAACCCATTAAATAAACACTTGGCCAAGTTTAAAACAAAATACTTATAAACATGTTTTTAGCTTTAGTGGTAGTAAAAATCTCAACCAAAGCTCCCAGATACCACTTTGTAACACCCTAGAAATTCCTTTCCTTTAAAATACTTGTTTTCCCTATTTAAAATACGAAATAGGAAATTCTAAGACATTACCACCACTGTGATAACGCTTAAGGCAATTATCAAGCACACACAGCAGAAGACTTCTTTTAAAAACCATTCAAAATAAAACTAATTTCATAAGTCAACCAAATGAAAGTTGTTTCGGGGTTTTCTGATGTCCTGCGGGAGAGTTACAATTCTGAGACTGGAACCGGACGCCTGTACCTGCAAAACAAACGGATGCTCCGGACAATTGGAGATCCGCCTCCGACGGTCAAGTTAGTACTTGATTAAGGAGTAATTAATGCGGAAATAAAAGTAATTGGGTCTCTCTAGGTGAGAGTGTTAAATGTGCCTAA